TTTAGCAACTTTCAGGACTCTTTATAGTAAAGGGAGCTCCTTTACTATTGAGAAGTCTGGTGACATTGTTATGTGTTGTTGGAGACTTTGGTGAAAACACATGAAAGCAGTGATTGCTCTCAGTCTTTTTAAGTAAGGAGTGAGGGAGCGAGCCCCTCCCTCCCCTGAAGCACTGTCAGGGAGTCAGACGCAGCTTTGCAGTCAAATGCCTGAGAAGTGGTTCTCCTCCTTCTTTTCTCTTATTGAAAATAAGCCACATTGCATACTTTCCACTAACTGTACCCAAATTAAAAAGTAAGATGTAAATATAATATTAATCTTTTTTTTCTGGGAAGAGGCTTCGAAGCATCTGATGCAGGTCCAGCACATTCCGAAACAGCTTCTTCCCCACCGCCATCACACAGCTGATTGTTGAAACAACTCTAAATCAAGTCACAGCCTCTGCATCACACTGATAACATGAAACCAAAACACTGCATAATTGCACCATATCTATTTAATGCTCTGAACTTCCATATCAATGTGTTTTTTGCTTTTTTTGCACCACATTTTTCCTCCGACAGTGTTTACATTTGATCACTGCTGCACTTTAAGAAATGGAAGTGTCATGAAAGCTGTACAAAACAAAATTTAGTTTGTATACACTCCATGTAAACAAAATCACAATAAAAGTTGTCTAATTCTACTATTGGTCATCCCTTTATTTAATCTATGCACAGCCTCATCCACTCTGTTCAATACCCTCTGCTGTTTATCAGTTCAATTTGATAGCATTAAATTGATTTATGTACGGTAGTTTTGCTTCTGGCAAAATATAATAGAACACTTAAAATAGCGTTATAGAGTGTTTTAATCACTTTCTGTTGATATGAATATTTCTCTCTCAGCAGGATCAAAATGCATTTTTTTAAAGCCCTCATTTAGTTCCCTGTAACGCCTTTAACATGGAATAATAAAGAACAGTTTTTATTAAATATCTTTATTTAAAAGGGGCTGAACACAAAACCTTATTGGAATTGTAAACTTGATAATGACCGATAGGTAGTATTAAACATTTAATGTTGTTTTATAGGTGTGTAGCAATGAAATTTATATTTTTAAAAACTTCTAAATCTAGCTTTAGTTAATTGTTAATTGTTAAATATAATCTAAACTGCTGAGGGGTTAGTAACTTTGAAAAACCACTAGCCACTGTGGCCAGTAGGCAAAAACATTCAATTTTATAAATGTGGGGTTTTCATTAGTCAGCAGTTATAATCATCTAAATTAAAAGATATAAACACAAGAATATATCAGTTTGTGTGTAATAAATAGAAAAAATATACAAGTTCCACAATTTTAACAGTATACCTCGATGGTATTCTAATTTTATGACCAGAACCAGTAAATTGGGCAGAATACAAATTTATATTTAACATATTTTCAAATGATAAAAAAATAATGCTTCACTTTCCTTTCCCTTTTTGCAGCTGTTGTTAGCTTCAAAAGCTGCAGTAAAACATGAGAATTTTAACTGACTGGTTTACAAAATGAAACAACCATCCTGCAGCCAAGTTAATGGGTTAGTCCAAAAGAACAAGTTATTAAATCGAATTAAATACGATTTTCCAGACTGTTGCTGATTAAATACAGCTATGGTGGACAGGCTTAGCCTTAACAACTTGTTTAATTTACTGGTTTGCATATCTTAGTGGCTCAGCAGGATGATGGGGATGAAGAACCAGATGTACGGTTATTATGTGTGAGAGAAACATGAGCACCATGTTCAGTGTAATAACACTGTGTTACTCAGAGATATCTGTCTCCTACCTTCACAGTTCTTATCATCAGCTGCCAGGTGGAGGCCAGGCGGACACAGGCACTGTAGTGTTCCCCATCTCTCCACCTGGCAACCAAACTGGCAGCGCAGAGAGAAACATGTGGTATCTCCTAGAAGAGAGAGAGATTGATCTACCATGAAGGAGAATCTGCACTATTTGGACAAGATCTGACACCAAATGATTTTCAAAAATTGTTTTTCTACTTCTCATTCACCACATTCAATAGCAGTTCTTTTTCTAGATTTCCCTTCAGTCTGACTGTGAGATGTATTCCTAATTAGTAGCACATTTTTAGATGTAGTATTTGATTAAAAGGAGACTCTATTTACTGATGCAGGTGTATCCATCTGCTTTTAGGGTGTATTCCGGCTCACAGTAACAACGGTAGCTGCCTGGTGTGTTCATGCAGCGCTGGGAACACCGTCTCTTCTGCAAACCGCACTCGTTCACATCTGGAGTTAATATAGAACATCATTAACACAGTAGATAGAAATCCTTGCGCTAAATGATGCAGAAGGACACAGGTAATGGGTAAGAAATTGAAAACATAAGCCTGGCAGTGGTTTTAGAAATTACACTCCACCTTCATCACAGTGTGGTCCTCGATATCCTGTGAAGCACGAACACTTGTCTGGTCCCACACATTTTCCATTTACGCACGGCTTCCTGCACACTGCTGTGGAGCAAAAGCAGCACAGCTGTAACCCACACCACCACGAGAGAGATGTTTTCTTATACTGCTGAACAGTGAATGTATCCTTATTATACTTCTGGATAAGCTAAGTTACCTTATAAGCTAAGTTAGTGAATCCAACAGATTTAAAACACTTTGATCCTTTACTTGGAGTTGTGTATCTTAAACACACAAATACTTAATTATTTTCAGCTAGCTTTTTGCTATATGAGTTTGGGTGGGTAACAGAACCAGTAACATTAGAATCTATCAGTTTAGTACTTATGCCTGAGTGGTCCAATCGGTCAGTGTCTGACCTTGAGGTGACCAGGAGACATCATGTTGCAAGAACTGCGTCTTGGATTTCAAAGTATAACATACAGAACTCTACAAAATAAGAGCTTTTGTATTGACATATCAGATCATTAAAGCATAGGACTAAACCGCAGGTGGGTAGAATAGTTACCCCCACGTTTCTCAAGTAAGAATAGCCCTAATTCACCATAGTTTACTCAAGTAAAAATAAAAAGTACCTGTCGAAGAATTTATTTAAATAGAATTAAAATAGTATCTGGCAAATAAGCTGCTCTAAGTAACTCATCATAACAACTGATTTGTCATAATTCTGGTATTTTAAAAACTATAATAAAATTATAGAAAAAAACCAAAAAGATAACGTTATTTACAAATAAGAAATCCAGACAGAGGAAACACTTTTCAAAACCAATTTTCATTTTAACAATACGACTTTTAAAATAAAAGCTTGACCTCCAAATATTACAGTAAGTTAGATATAAAGTAAGCTTTGACACCAACATCAACTCTGTAACTGTGTCTGGGGCATTGTTTTAATAAACTAACTTGTTCATTATTTGGTGAAACTACTCCAGCTGGTTGGGTTAGCCAAACACTTTACTCAAGAGTAGCGAAATTAAGATATTACTCAATTAGAGGCAAAAAGTATGGTGCACTAAAAATACTCCTAAACGTATCTTTTGTGGAAAAAAATAAATAAATAAAAAATATTTGAGTGAACATAGTCAGCTACTACCCGATTTTGGGCCATTTATTTCAAAATAAAAGCCTCACTTTTCCATAACTATTAAGCTAAAACAAACATAAGGTAGGATTTCAAAATTTAATTGTAAAATAAGACATCAAAATACAATCATTTTAGCAATCATTTTCACATCTTTCATTTTGGACTACAGAATGTGTCAGCTATCACCCCTGCAGCTTGCAGTGGTGCACTGCTGAACTGGTGCCATCCACAGGACCAGGTGTTTCTGTTTCTAAGACTAAAGGTGTGTATCCTCTCCTCTGCTTGTTTTCTGAGCTGATACACTCTGTCAGCTGTGAGAATGTTTTTGATCCTGGACCACGTTCAGTCAGTTCAATCTATGTACAAAAGATTCTTGAGGATGATCAGTGGAAACAGAAGGAACCTCAGCTCAAATGTATGAACAATGCAAATGTCAATTGGAATGTCAATAAATTAGCAAAGAATGTGACAAAAGCTTCACGTGGTGTAAAAAGAATATTTTGGATAATATTTTCTGATTGGGCTTCATCATCACACAGTAGAGAGTGAATCAGTTTGATGTGAAGTAAAGGGTTTTTGCATGTCAAGTCTGGGGGGAGGCAGCACCTCCCGATGCCTCCTCAATTCACCCAGAAGATGACATTCATCAAAAACCAACTAGCTGTGATGATATTTAATCTTTTAAATACTAGATAATCCAAACATGCTCCAATGTGCTCATTAGCAGGGTCTCAGAAATCAGTAAAATCTTTGTTCATCCAACGAACAAATTTGGAGAATCGTCCCTCTGGTTGGGTTGTCACCAGTTTGCAGTAAGACTTACGCTGACAAATGTGGTTAGCTTTCCTCCAGCCAAAAAAACAGGAAGCAGTTTGTCCAACAAGTCCCTGCTGTATTTGAGTATCTTCCAAGGGATCCTCCATCCGATGGTGGTGACTAGGACAAAACAATATTTGATAATTAAATGTTGGGAGGATCTCAGTACATAATGTCAGAAAAGAGTCATGCTCTAAAGAGGGGTTTCTCTCTGAAAGAAGTGAATTATTCCATTATAGTGGTGCATTTAGGGGCTAAGCCACATGACAGATGCTTTGCTAGCGAAAGGAACAGCGTCTGAAGCGCGATATCAGAGTCAGATCCTGGTCAGACAGAAGGGCCCTAGAAAGCAACCATGATACTTACTGTAGCTGCTTCTGCCTCTTGATTAGGAGCACCTCTGAAGGATCTGGTTGACCCAGGGATGCTGTTCTACTTCCCACATAATATGGGACCTTTAAAGGACCCATATTATGCAAAGTTGACTTTAAAACCTTTTGTAGCAGTCACATATGTCCTGAAGCCTGAGTATAAGATTTGCGAATAAAAAAAAAACTTCCCTTCTCTCACTGCCTTTCTCCACCTCTTAGCTAATCTGTGCTTAGAATGCTTAGAGCTTACATGCCCTTTATGAGGTCATCCGGGGAAAATCCCTCACCCCTTCTGAACCTGCCTTCTAGCAGTCGCTATCTCTCTGCTCACAGACACTGTGCTTCCAAACAGGCATGGGGAAGCCAAGAGCTAAGCCTTTTAGCTGCTCCTGTTAATGTCCGCATCAAGCAGACAAAAATAGTTTTTTCTGTCTTAATCTGATACTCTAATAAAGACCCAGTAGATTGATTTTTATTTTTGATGGAAAGCTACTTGCTAAACTTCTGGAGATTTTGTATCTGTGTGTTAAGCATTTCAAAGAGGACAGCTTCACAACATTAGTGCTAACAAAGAGTTGCTCGATACCAACTATATATTACAAACCATTAAACGTCATCGCTGGAAATAATACCATAAATACTGTGTGGGACTGCTTTACCTGATAGACCCCAAACACTTTAGCACTGCAGCTAATGTTTGTTTCCTTGGCTGTTTTGGACAGCAGGTGTTTTTTTTATACATTTGAGAATCTTCTCTGTTCTTCACATACAGTGTTTCTGTCATGATCTGGCCTGTTTGCTCCTCCTTAATTAGTCATTCCTTTCACCTGACTTTTTCCTTCCCTGCCTCAATTATAATTTATTCCTCTAACCTGTTTCCTTTGGTTTATATTCGGTTTAGCCTGAGCATTCAATACCAGATCATTACTTGTCTTTCTGTTAGTCTGTCTGTTCAGTTTTATTTCTTGGTTCATGTCCTGGATCCTAGCTGCCAGTGGAAAGAGAGTTTTGTGTCTGTTTCGTCTCCTAATTGTCCACTGTTCCTCCCCCGCGGAGTCCTCTGGGTTTTTGGCTCAATATGGGGGGAGGTTCAGTTTTTATTCCAGTAAGCCTGGCTCCAGGGAGGAGACCAGTTTAAAGTCCTGCATCAAGTTCTGGTTCCACGTCCTGTCTCGGCTACCCTCTTCCACTGAGCCTGCTCATCTGCATCTTCTGATTGTATGCTTGTGATAAATCATTTTTGGTAGTAGCAGCCCATTTAGTTCATTACATTGTGTGGCTCCCCACACAGTGCCAGCGCAATCTTAGTTCTTTCTTGCCCCCAAAACAAATCCTATGATGTTCCGTAAAAATTCAAAAAATATCCACTGGACTTGGTTTCCAAGATTTGAAGACGTTTCGCCACCTCTCCAGGAAACGTCTTCAAATCTTGGAAACCAAGTCCAGTGGATATTTTTTGAATTTTTATGGAATGACTATGACCTGGATGACTGAGAACCTTCATCAGCATCCTATGATGTTTTGCGAGGAGAGTTCTAACAAAGCATTCTGGGATATATCTACTCGTCTAGTGACCATGGTTGCACACTACTTTTCAAGGTGAATTGTGGGAAATTTTTAAGTCCACTACTTTTTCCTCCATTAGATGTTCAGACACTCATATAAAATGGTGTAACCCCTATAGAGCTCTACGTACGGGTTAGGGTAGAGGATTGGAAACAGTCTTAGAAAGAAATCGTACCAGAAACAGAACCACAGAAATAAAAAGGGAAGGAAGTTGCAAAAGGCTCAAGGTTTTAGAGTCGTTACAGAAATTGTTTTAATAAACCTAATACTTATATATAAGTATTATATATATAATATAAATGTTTTTAAGGCTTTTAGTAAAAAATCAATACATTTGCCAATATTATGATGTGATATATATTTGAAATCAGGCAAAAACAGCCCCATCTTATTTCAGGTGGACAATATCTAATTATTTTACTTCCAGTCGAAAATAAAGTATCTGTCCTCAAATTGAGGACAGATACTTTAATTTTAAGAATTTGTTTCTTAAATTTACATCAGTTTTCGCAGAGCAGTGGATTTAAAATCTACAAAGCTTCCTGCACTTTCACCTCTAATCTTACAGGCACCTTGTTGTCACTGTTGCATTGCAATATGGTGCTTCATCATACTGTGGTAAAAAAAACAACTAAACAAACAACAAACATTCATCACCAAAGTACTTTTGGGTGTTTAGGCACAGTTGCTTTTGGAACTACTGTACCTAAATTCCATCTTTTACTTTTTAATTGATTTCCTTTTTTTAAATCATAAATATCTAGACACGACTTTGATAGATGTCATTACCTTTTCTTCTCATCCATTGCTGAACATATTTAAATCAGGGATGATGTGTTTAATTTGTGATATTTTGGCCTACTTCATGCTGTCAGACAGGTTCTTTTTTATTTATTTATTTATTTTTTTAGATTATTTTGATCTAGTAGGTTAAGTAGTAGTCAGGTCTGGATTAGTTAAATGAACCAAAGCCAAATGTGTAGTGGATAGGACTTAATGCACTGAGTGATGCATCAAGGCCATCAAATGCTGCTGTATACAGTTAATAAGAAGGATTTTTATCATAAAACTTCATGGATAGGATATTACTGAGCTAAACATAAGAGATACTTCCTCTTAAATTCAGGTTTTGAACTTTTTTCTTACAATATATATATATATATATATATATATATATATATATA